TCAATTAAAACAAACAAAAGCATACGTTCAACACATCTACAACCCATAAGCAAAGCTCGAGCATATGTATCCAAGGAGGATTCACTCTTGAGCTGATCACCGGTAAGATATCTAAAGTTATTTTAGTTATGTGAGATTTTTAAAATAGTTTTATTTGATAATGGCTTATAATAATTTGCAGTGAAATCAAACTGAACACTACAGGATGAGAGAAAGTGGTTAGATTTAGCTCAAATACAAAATTAACGTGTTGTGTGATGATGCAATCCAATAGTGACTTAGTGGTCGATTCATGTCATGTATAACATTCTCGTTAACAGAATCCCATAGTGAATTTTCTCGAGAGAAGAGGAAATCGCAAAACTGGAAACAATATCCCTTTTTGATGACAAAAAAATCACTACAACATCTAAAAATGATATTGTGTATGAAGAAGCTGAAAATTACTACTAAGATAATTCCAATAGATTTGTAAACAGTTTGAGCAAAATTATAAAAATGTGAGCAAAAAAAACGCACTTCAGTAACGCTAAGAGCTGGCTCACGAACATCTCTATATGGATCCCACTGTCGTAAAAAATGTCTGAGAAAATCACTGGCTTTTTCTCGCATCATCCCTATTTCATCCTAAAATTTCAGTCTTATATTGATTGTGACGAAATGCATGTTTATATTCCAATATAAGTGCAACAATAAATTCATAATAACTAAACATTCAAAAATATACTGATTAATTATGTGCGCCCTATTCTAAAACCAAAACACTTATTGTTACCCACGTTTTGCTTGTCCTTATGAAAGCGCAAGAAATTGTTGAAGCTAACAACAGCTGCATCATCCGAATAAGCCGCAAAATGTTCTGCGAAAAGCTGCAAAAAGCGTAAAAAATCTTGAACTATGAGCAGAAGAGAAATATTGCAATTAAATAACAAACTGTTCTAGAATGTCGACCGAGGCAGAAGCGAAAGAGAGACAAAGAAGGGGCTTCGAGAAGTCTGCGGTGCATAAACAAAAATTGCTTAAAAGTAAAGACGAAGTTTCGTTACCGAATTGGCGTGCAAAAGTTTGCGATAAGCATTTGCGAAACTGTCATAATGCATTGTCTCCTGAAGTAAACCAAAAATCTGGTCTGTAGTACCAAAGCGATGCAGATAAAAATCTTTCGCTAAATTTTCTGTACACCAAATTAATGAAAAAATATGTTCCAGTTTGAGCTCAATTAATACATTTATGAGTCAATTCATTGAAAATGGTTGTAAATGTGGCTTCTTCCAAATAAAATAACTTACTTCGCAAACCTCTTGCAACTGTTTTGACTGCACTTTATATTGCAGACTTGTTTGTACGAACGGCTTCATATGTTTCATCGCTACGCTGAAACCGTACAAACACAATCAGAACAGTAATATGACAAAATCATAGTGTACTAAAAATAAAAATCATGATTTATTTTAAAACATACTGATATACATTAATAGACTACTAAACTTCTTGTCTCTTCTAAATCAATTTCAGCGAATGCTCTAGCAACTAATTTTCCCATAGTTTGGCAACAATAATCTCAGTATAATCACGGCCAACATCAAAACATAAACATCTGAACAATGCAACATGTGACTATCAATTTTCTATCGCGATATAAAAAGTTATAAAGAGATAAGTTCAAAACAACTTGAAATTCTGCTTACCAAGGATTTTCAAGAGCATATCCAGCAATATTATAAAACTCCTTCCTTAGCCACCGTTCCACGAGGAGTGCATGACAAGCAGAAATTGTATCCAGCATCAAATAGTGAACACCTTGACACCACATGCGACATAAATCTTCCGTATCAACTAAAAAATTCACTTTCTAGTAAGTAACTAATTTATTTGGATCTACTATTATTTGCCACTATAAGTAGACGTCATAACTGAAAATTAGTATGCTTAATTGCGCCTACGTTGCCAAAACTTATGAAATTATTAACACATAGTATTATGAATATTTAAAATGTGATCATGTCTTCCGTATTACAGAATGCAGCCACTCACACAACAAAATCCAGTATCGCAAATTGAAAGTGGTTGCATAACTTAGAACTAATATTCTCGTTGCATCAAACTGTTTAATTTCCTTGTCTTTTTCCCACTTATCGCCGATTTTGATCTTTTTCAGTTTAAAATCAAGGGTGTGCACTTCTTTCACTATTCGCAAATCTAGCCGCAGCGTTTTGCCACCACTCTGAAACGTAATTAAAGTTTGAATTTACAATAAATCCAGTGATGCAAATAATATACCTTTACTCTTCAAAATTAGTTTTATTCATTTCATCAAGTATGCTTAGTTCATTTATTTCACTAAGTTTAGTGAAAATATTATAGCTTTTAACACTACATTAAAAAGGCAGTTTTACATTTGTCTCTTGGACTTCCTTTTTAAAACTTATTTCATTTCAAATAATTTTACTTGATTTACAACTCCAATTAGAAACTATGGCAAAAATTTTCAGACTGTTGGTAAGCAAAATATGAGGATATGTAGCCAGATAGAGTAGAAAAATACAGACGCACATAAAAATCCTTAACTTGAATAACTTTAACCTTGTCATAATTATCCAGTTTCGACAAAAACAGTTGCCTCGTCTCACGGTTGTACGTAAGTCTTTTCTGTGCCGGATCTCGTCGCTTCATCAATAGAAGTTTGTAGACGTTGTGACCTGAAATATTAATGACTCATTGTTAAGTGTTAAACAAAATGCTATCGAATGCTTAGAAAGACACATATTTATCGCGCTTTAAAATAATCTTCTAATATAATAAAATGAATATAAACAAACTTCTTCCATCAAAAAAGTTCTCCAGAAAAGCTACAATAGGGTCACTATGTCATCCAGCTCGAAGCTACTTACGGTTACGCCACATTTAATTTCGTCTGACATCAGTTCATCATTTGATATTTTATACAATAAGAATTACCCATTTCCATTGCATGAAACACTTTTTCCATTTCGAATTCTACTGAGCTTGATGTCATAAGCGAATTGCTTGTAAATACGAAAGGACGCTGAAATAACAATACCGAATCTGCTGAGCTTTGAGGGTACATTTAGCTCTTGGAATATGTCCCTACAATACTAGGAGTGTTCATTCCACATTTCGTCTGAAAAAAAGTCAAGTTAAAGAAATTTTAAAAATATGAAAAAGTATATCACAGATATCTGAATCTCGAATTCATAATTTTTTCTAAATCATGATGTTCGTAACTACTACTTTAAGCCAAAAAAAGTGTAATATAACAAAGAACTATAAACATAACAAATATAAATAAGAAAGTATAAACATGACCCAAAGAAGTGTAAAAAGTAACTTTACGACGCAAAGTCAAAAGCTAGCCAAAAATCAGATTTTTAAGATTTAAGCCAATTTCATCAACTATTCAAACATAATAGGTATTCATGAATAGTGAATCAAATCTTCCACTACCAAAAATTTTAGTAGTGACTTTCTCTAGAGTAGTTTTTATGAACGACCATGGTAAATTTATATAAAAACTTTTTAATGGAGCATTTATCATTCGTGGATCCTATAAGTTTGTCAAAATATTAGTTAATTTACATCATAAAATACACTCCAAAAAACCGAGCACAAATAACAAACTGATATTTCGAAGGATACATAAAATTGACAATGTTAAGTAAAAAATGTTTCGAAGATCAAAAATGAAATTTGAGAAAAAACTTAAAATGTCAGAGAGACAAAATCTCTATTTCTTTCTCCTACCGCTATGAAATAATAATATATTAACAATCATAAAATCTATCCAAGTTTACTTTCGAGAGATGGATTAAATTATTCATATCATCTATAAATTTTTTATATTTTTTAATTTCCACGCAGAAAGTTTGGATAAACTAGTGCATCTTTAGACTGTTACTCTATTGCACTTTTAACTGTGGCTATAGAAAGTTTTTATGACCACCTTAGTAGAGATAGTAAAGACATTAATTAAGAACTGCAATGAAATTATAAACATAAAATCATGCTTTCTTTACTTTAAGTGCTACTGATGAAGCATAGAGGAATCCTTTAAACCAGCGAAAGTATTAATATCTTGTTTGATCAGTAGAAAATTTTCATTCTCTCAAAGTACTCATAATTAAAATCACAGCTTCAAATCTACATATTAAAGAAACAGTTGAAATTTAGACTCTTGCAGAGATCTCTTCCATTATGAATGAATAGCAAAAACTACTCCTGAAATAGCAGAAATTACTACAAAACCTTCGGAATAGCAAGAAAAAAAATACTGCAAACGTATACTACACTATGTCACATTTTGCCACCTTCGGAACAAAATTTAATAATTGAAGCTAATGAGAAATATTAATATTAACGTCTTCCACTTCCAGTTCATTGCTTAATTCTTATATTTTTCAACTTCATTAACCATTAGGCTATCAGTTAGAATCATGAAATATGAATTATTTAGGACAGTTAACAAAATTATATAAATTAAACAACTAAACGAATTCATTACCAGGTTTAATAATCACTTTGAAAAAAAAATCTAACTGACTGTAATAGTTATTTAATACTTCTTGAACAAAAATTCATTTCAATAAACTTAAAATAACTATGTAAAAAACTTTTTAAAAAATATTTCTAAAAAATTATTTCTAAAAAGTTATATTGAAAAAGTTTACTGCAACCAAGTTATAATTTTCAATCGATATTAGTGAAACTTGGTCCGGCGCGAAAAACACTTTTCTTTGAAATTACTTTTGCTCCATCATACATTCTTCATTCTTTCACAAGCTCTTATATATTCTTAAGTCAATTAAAAACAATGGACTGGTTAAATTTGCTTTGTTAAAAGATTCTAACTTGCATGGATATCTTTTATTGAAATAATGGATATCATTTTTTGTTGGAGTGATGAGTGCTATGGTCAGTGTTCAATCTTTGTAGTAGACATTGGGACACTTTAAACAATAATAATCTTGTCAAAAGAAGGAAAGCTATGGGAAAATTTCCACCAATGATCTTATCATCCATCTGATCACTCCACAGCCATCCCTGATATTGTCAGGTTTCTTAATGTCAACAATACAGATAGCAGATTGTCGTTGCAAGAATCGGACAGATTCGAAAATTCTTATAGACTGAATCGTTGATGTGGCGGAAAAGGACGCGTAAGTATGGTTGTGTCCGGACGCAAGCCAGGAAGCTACAATAATAATAATCTCGTGCTATTGTCATCATTTCTTGCGACTCTCAGAAGTCAAGCCTAGCAAATTAAGCAGGAAAAGTTCAGAAAGCTTTTGTTTAGTAACACTGACCGGTCATACTAGTTTCTTGCTCGAGTATTCTATTAAGTCTTGTCTTAACTCCCGATATTCCTTAGTATTATTGATAGGTTTCTGATAAAACCACACTGTTGCAGTTTGTTTCTTTAAAATTCTGCTTTATCAATAAAGATATATATATATATTAATGTGGGGAATACCTTAGTTTTGTTTAAAATTGTAGTAAATTGTTCTATGTCTTCTATTTAATTTAATTGTTTATATCGAATCTAATTATTTATTTGAAAATAATAACTCTACTTGCTACTATTTTCAACATTTCATACAACTTGCCTCCGGGATGTCCTCAGATTGTCTTTTGAGCGCCTTTCCTATCACAAATTTATCAAAATTAGTATCAAAAAATTCCTTTCCAATCCAAAATCCTTGGACTTAAATAGTTTTATTACATTTTGCGAGAATGAAACAAATTTACGATACAAGCAGACAATATTTATATCGATTATAAGATATGCATAGATTATTTATTATTATTATATTATTATTATTGTTATTATTATTATTATTAATTATATGTCACATCATTAATTTAAAACAGAAAAGAGTTCCAGAAAATGGGAATTTTTTTCTCTCTGATCGAATAGTCAACAAACATTTAGCTAATAAGCACACAATCTAATTAACAATTATTAGAATTATTTAATTTCACGAAAATCATTTGTTTTTAGTTTAATTTATTCACCCACTCAGCTTCTCATTGTTTCGTTCTATGCCAATTTCACAAAAGAAATTTTCATTTTTGTCCGTGAATATTCCTTATTTGAAGCAAGCTTTAACAAGACACAGAATGTAATGTTTATTTCATTTCTTTTTGATTTTGAAGATAATCTTTGAAAGCTGTTGAAATTTTAGTCCTCAAAAGTGTGAATTCAAATCCTAAAATACTAACAATAAACAAAAAAAATGATGAATATGCAAATTAATTTTCGTAAGAATTTCAATTTATGTTTAGGACCAGCTTGTACTCTATAAGAAAATGAAAAGCATCAAATACTGCGTATTTAATCTACCGCAGATCATGACTTATTAATTCCACAAAATTTTATTTTTCATTGTCCACTATTACGTTATCTATTAATGTTCTATCAAATAATTTAGAATAGCTCTGCTAACTGGATGCATTCGATTTTGATTTTAAGATGCTTAATTGTTTTAAAAGAATTGAAAAAATTGGTAACTGTCGTGAAAGACGAAATATTTAAATTATTATATGCAAAACTAACAAATTCCTCTCATCTAATTCCTTTTCCTCACACAACAAAAACCTTTTGTTAGCAAACCCTTCGTTAGCAAACCCTTTGTTAGCAAAACCCTTTATTAGCAGTCTTTGTTTCACATCAGTTAAATATCCTCTGCCGGATATCTGGTCAGCTCAGTTCCGCATATAAACAATCGTCCTCCATACGGTGGTTCATTCTGCATTTTGGGGTGGTTTTGATACCATTTTAATGTTTTATAATTATATCTTTCGTTACGCGTTTGTTAATCGGTGTAGCATCCATACGATATGTATAAAGCGCTATTATTTGCTTCATGTTAAATAAAGGTTTAATTACCCAAGTTTGAGGTTTCACGACAGTAACATATCTGATTCTATTTAAATGATGAATAATATTTTATGAAAGTCTGCACTTCTCGCTGCTCATTTGTCTAATTGTTCAATTAATATGGATAAATATTAGGTTTCTATTTGAGTGGATCAGAAAGCTTTATTGATGATTGATTGAATGTATTGGTAGAGATATCTAATGTTTTAATTTATAGATGCGTTTCTTCTGCTTGCTATATGCATATTTGTTTGCAAACGTAGATCTTTCAAAATTAAGCTTAATTAATTCATTGGTCAATCAAAATTTCATTAAAATTTTAAACGAATAGGAATGGATTTCTTATACTTATGAAATTAAAAAGAAATATATAAAAATCATATAGGTCTTGAATTTCATGATGTTTTAGGTTATGCAGAGCAAGCAAGTAGTAACGCTAGTGTAGAAGAGCTGAGAAATAATCTGTTAACCCCTGATTACTTTCCGTTTTGTGGCATATCTTAAGTGTTTCTCTAATAACATGGAACCTTATTTATCTTATAGCAGCTCTGTTCTTATCAGGTTAATTTTATTGTGGAAGAGGAAAGAAATCTGAATAGCTTAAGGAATAGCAACAGTAAGTTCGTGCATCAAACAATTAGAGTAAATAATGCTATTTGCATTTATTACGGTCAAAAATTTATTCTTAAGAAATCTTCTATAATCAATAAAATAATCGAAATGGAAGGCAGGAAGAGAAACATTTTCACTATTTTAACGGAAAAATTAAAGAGCAAAAAGTTCGCCCTACTGTTTTATTGCCAGTTTGGTATGTATTAGAAATTTTGGTATAATAGGAATGGAAATTATTGTATGCGTTACTGAGATGTGCTTGCAGAAAAAGTGCAGAAAATATATTCCATATCAAGTGTAACTTTTTCACTTCAAAACGAACAAATTTAGTTAGATAATTAATTTGAATAATGTTTGTTAACTAGAGCTGATGTGGAAATAACTATTTCTATTTCTTTCATTTCATTTTGAAATTTTCATTGATTGCAAATAAAAGATGTACAATAAATTTTAAAATCAGTTGTTCACTTCACCCAATTTCTGGAAGTTTTTAAAAGGTTCGCTATCAAATGTCCTAATTCTTCTTTTCTTCAGTAGTAATCATTTTATTTACCACATATCACACGACATTCTGCAATGCCATTCAATACTAATAATGTTTTTACACGTACTTCTCCCTTTCTAAAATTTCAAGAATTGAAAAAAAGTCAGCTTGTCACACGCCTCATATCCTACTGTTTCAAAAAATGAATCATCTCTCTGCTAAATTTATTTCGTTGTCATTTTGTTACATTGTATAAAATCAGTCCAATTGATCATTATTTTGGGAAGAAAATGACGTAAGATCATTAAAAATATTTTAAAACTTTTGCTTCGCATTTGCTGTTTTACCTATTCCTTCTCATCTTTTAAATTTTAGTTTAAAAATGTTGTGCATTGCACACAAAACTTTTATCAGCATAATAAGAAGCCCGGAATGAGTAAGAGTTAATTAGTTGTCAAAAGATGGCTAAACCTTAATACGTTTCGTAAAGTTTGTAAATTCAGTTTCAGGAAAATAGGTTTGCACTATAGTTATACTTGATCGTTCGAACGCTGTTCATTGTCAAACTTTTATTTGATTGACTTCGAATATTTAGCAAAAAAGAGCTGATATAATATATCACGGAAATTATATCAAATGTGCAAACAAAAGATTTGTCCTATCATCGAGATAAAACAATTTTTAATTGTAAAGAAGTGATACAAAATTTCCCAAAATAAAAAAAAGTTTTCTAAACTATTTTGAACTACTCGGTGGCTTTGATAGAAAAAGAACAAATTTATTGGAAGTTTAACAATTCCGGCCACTGAAATAAATAATTCTCAACCGGTTAAATCATTGACTCTATAATTAAACTCTTCCATATAACATGCATTTCACAGCATCAAAGCCAGAAAACAGGCTAAGTTTTAAAAATTTCCATCACTTTTTTTTCTAAAATTAACCTGACAATTCGTTGTGAGCACGAGGATTTCTTCGAAATCAAATCCATTGTTGAAAGACCGGAGAGATTCCCTGCACCTCTAAAAATTTGTAATTTTATTTAACTTAAAGAAACTTTTCTATCCCTAGGGAAGCATGAATAGAGAATATAACATAAAGACACTTTAATCACAACATCCTAACAATCATTTGCTAATTAGTAGGATATTCCTGGAAAAAATTGAAAGCTTCACTAGATTATATCAATAAACAAACTGCTCCAAATCAATTTTCGTGTTAAAACTAGGCGGAACCTTCCACTGCACATAAGATTTTATCCCATAAACAATGTGTACATTAACACGAACTATACAACACGATAAATAATATAACAAAACCACAATACCCACTTACACATCGAAATGGTGCTGGATAACTCTCATTAGAACAGTTAGAGTGAAGAATAAATTTTTGATGCTTAAAATCCCCGCATTTACAGCAGATAACTACAGATAAAATGCTTAGGTCAGACTGATATGCAATACCATATGAAACTTGAAATTAAATCACATTACGACATTATTCAGTGTTGGAAATCTTCAAAAAGAAAGTCTGAGATCAAAAAATGTGCATGAAAGAAGTGAAATGGAAGACTGTTTGAATGCATTATTAGGCTCCAACAGAGTATATCTGAAGCAGAAATTAACGTTCAAACAAAAAATTTTTAAACCGTCAAAGCACTGTGTGAGATTCAGACCCGGATAATATAAAACCCAACAATACATAAATTTGAAGTAAAATCGCACCTAATATAAAGTTAATGTCAAAATCATGCTCTAAAGCTATCAAATGCTGCCATTTTTGGAAAGCAAAAGTAAAAGATCCTAGACTTGAAATTATGATCAACATAGCATGCTAAATTTAATTCAGAAAACCATAGCATAATAAAAGGGCTGAATAGCACATTTTAATGAATCAAATACGATGCCTTTAATAATTTCAACATAATACTTCAACATAATCAATTGCAACATGACGTAGTATATTTACAGTTTTTACAGTTCTTAGTTCTTATTGATAATTCAAGTAATTACAAATAGGAATGAAGAAAAAAATGTTTTTAAGCTGCACTACTGTAAAGTATTCTCTTTATATACATATATGGGAAGATTACAAAAATGTATCTTTATCTCAAAATTTTTGAGCCTGAAAAATTCGAATGTTCAATTAAAAACGGTTTTCAAACATAGAAGAAAAATAATTAAATAATTTGTTAAAATTTTACACTTTTGAAATAAGTCATGAATGAGGAGTATGCACATAATAAAAGTGTATTAAAAATAAGGAGATCAGGAATAAACAAAAAAGCATCTTCTGGAGAAAAGGAACACTCCCATTTTTTTATATTTATTTAAG